TTTTTTTTTTTTTTTTTTTTTTTTTTTTTTTTTTTTTTTTTTTTTAACAATAAAGCAATCCTTTCTTGGTCCATAAACTTTATCCTCAAGAGCGTACTCCGTTCCGTGACACTTCTCCGCTCCACTGTATAGCAATGTCATCGCAATCTGTGCTAACGAATCAAAGAGAAGATAATGATCGGGGCCCCTCCCCTTAACAGTGCTTCTGGTTTACGGTAGAGTTCGGCTTGTGTCGTCAAAACGGCGAGCTCAAGGCTTACGGGGCGGGTCTGCTGTCGTCGTACGGCGAGCTCGAGTACAGCGTGAGCGGCAAGCCCGAGCTTCGGGAGTTCGAGCCGGCAGTCACTGGTCTGCAAAAGTACCCAATCACCGAGTACCAGCCGGTCTACTTTGTGGCTCAGGACTTTGAAGATGCCAAGGAGAGGATGATGTGAGTATACCCATTGGGGTTATTGGGTATCGCTATCGATTTTTTCCTCGGTCGAGCGTCGCGAGCTTTCCATTTTCAAAGTATTAAGAAGCAGCGATTAGATTAGCGAGAAGATCTGTTTATCTTGATGTACTCGGGTGAAGCTTTGCTGGTTCGGGAGCAGTGCGATTTTAACATTAAATCACGGAGAAAGATAAGATTTCTGTGAAGGCAGTTTCAGGTAATGACCACTTTGCGTAACTTCGAAGGTACTGCCGTCAGTGTAAAAGTATATAAGTAATCAAAAGCCATTATTAATCTGCGGTATCGCAAAGCGCGTGTTCGGAAAAAATTGTACCGTCAGTTTCTTGGTGCGGGCGCCAAGACTCCTAAAGTTGAAATATGTTTGGCACGCATCGGATTTAATAATCTTACTGGTCGATGATGTTTTTAGAAAATTCGCCGAGACGATTCCGAGGAGCTTTGGAGTAAGGTACGATCCGTACACGCAGATGATCAGCATCATAGACAGCAAGTACCAAGTCGAGGAGTTGGTAAACAACGTCAACATTGAAATGCAAATCTTGATGGATGCGTTGAGGAAATTGAAGCAATAACAAGCCCCGGCCGCCATTAATACTCATCGTTACGCAATTTGATCTCATTTATCATCGCGATGCTCTCTTCCAAGCATTAATTTTGTAAGCTATATATCTACAACTGTGGAATCATGGAGGAAAAAATTTTTTAATTACCCCAACCAAAATTTGGTTAAAAACTAACTATATTTTTTGGTTTATGTAAGTTTTTTTTTTTTTTTTTTTTTTTTTTGTCTCTTTTATAGATATCAAGATCGTAACGTTAATCTCAAAATGTTATATATTTTTCTCGACAAATCATTAAAATAAGAATCTTTTTATCGATTATTGCGTGTATTGTGTTTCTTTTTTAATATACGTAGTTTACGACTTGATAGTGAAGGTATTTTTTCCCTGAAATAGTATCTTGTAAAAATTAGATGAGAAAGGAAATCAAGTAAGACAAGGAAAATAAAAAAAAAATACTGTTTTTAAAATTTCAATCAAATGTTTATTACTGATAATTAAAAAGAAATAAATGTATATTGACAAACGGACAGTGATTGCTCCCAATCATTTGCTTGTTTAATTAAAATCATACATTGCATTGAAACATCCATGTGGTAACTAATAAATATCAATTTCAACAAAATTTAATGAGGATACACCTCTATACTTATATTAATCTTCGAAACGTACAGTAATATTGGTCACATCCATCACAACAGATATCATCGATAGTTTTAGCTTGAGAACTGATCACATGAATTGGTATTATTTACACAACATATTCAACATTGAGTCATAATAAAATGATTTATATTATATACATAAATAACAAAATATATATTAAATTTTTTGTAAATATTAGTAAGCAAATATACATATATCTGTATATATAAATATAAGCCTTCCTCTTATCAAGTTCATTAGTTACGGAGTTGACTCTCTAGATTGCTGGTAACTTTAAGATTTTCATTTTACTTGGTTGGTAGCTCCTTGAATTATTAGGAATTTCATGTAGTTAATTAACAATGTGTTTTTTGGAATGTTCAAAATCACCATAATAGGCTTTTTATTAACATAATAAAAAGACCATTGATAATTTTAATTTTGTTTAACTAATCTTTAACTAATCAATAAGCTATATTTATTGTCAGTGATTATTTTAAAAATGTCTTGCATTTCTTTTTTTATCGTAACTTTAATAATTTTCTTTACTGGAAATTGATGCGTTAAAAGGCAATATCGTGATTTATTCATAGGAAAGTTCTGAAAAACTTTCATCGTAAATTTTGTTCACGATAATTAAAAAACCCTGTAGAAAATAGTCTTGACTCTTGGAATATTTCTCATCTTGCCTAAGTCTACACTTGAAGCAATGAATCGCAGTTGACATCAACTTTATTTTGATTTTAATTAATTAAAAAAATAAGTTAGTATATCGATTCATAAAAAATTTTAGACGCATTCCACGAAAAAAAAAACTCTTGCATATTTCGCTTAAAATGGCCTGAAACTATTTCTACAACGAAACAGCTAACGGCTACTTAGCGCCTCACATAGTTTCAGCCATTTTTACATTTTACCGCAATAACGCATGTTTCATCTTATCGCTGGAAACAGATACGTTAAATGTAGACAGTATGTATAGTTGTTTTTTCATATAATGGAAACATAAACTTTTTTTGTATGTAATTTCTTACAGTTTACCCTACAGTATATTTTTGACAAAACTTCTATCATACAACTTATGCTTAGATAAACAAATTTTACTAAATGGATTTCGTCAATACTCAGTCATACTTAACAATTTCATTGTTTAATAGTACCAATTGAATTCTAGTCATGAAAATATGTATCGAATACTTTAAATAAGCTCTTTTTTCCTTAATATAAATTTGACTTACAAGAATAATCATATTCTAACATATCTTCTAATTTGGCATAAGTTATACTTTATTGGAATGCTCGATCATGACTGTCATTTGATTCTCATCACAATTAATTCAGCCAATCTTTATATATCAATATAAAACATGTCTAATTATTCTTACATACGTTTTTACACACATAAGCTTCCAAAAATACTTTAATACATTTTAAAAATCCTCGTATTGTTGAAGCAATAAATATTAAATATTATAGATATGTCTTTACAAACTTTTCCACCAGGTAAAGGTAGCTTTTGACACGATAGTGTAAGTACAGAGTAGGACATCCCTCGGGGAATACATATGTTATGAATTTTATCTGAAGCACCAACAGAGGAATCGTTAAGCTCGAAATATTAAACAATATTACACGACACTTTTACAATTTTAAAGCAACTCACCTTCGTTCTTTTTCATTTCACTGGTACTTGTGAAGAAAAATTACTTTTTTTTCTTGCAAGACTTGCATATTCTTTAATCTTTGTTTTTCAGGCTTTTCTTTCCCCCAAATTAACTAAATTTTTGGCATCCACGAACAACACAAGTGATATTAACTAAGTGGCTAATTGGTCGATGAAACTTTGAAAAAGCTCATTATCACACCATACTACACAGGTACTATTATTTTAACACACAGTTCCATAAACGAGTTCACTTGCAACTATTTCATCTAATTATGTGTCGGCCTCTGCTGCTGATTCGTCGTCGCGTCCATGTTGGCGTAGACCAGATCGTTTTGCTGGCACATCTGAAAGTCCATGAGATCCTGATTCGCCTGCTCTCCATGTTGTTGTGGTTGGTTGAGCTGCTGAATTTGTTGTTGTTGAGGCATCATCTGAACAACGCTGCCATGGGGCGGCATGGGTGCACCCAGGACTGTATTTACGGGTAACGAGTGGGGAAACAATTCCGGTGGTACGATATTGACTGGTACTGTGATTGGCACTTCGAACACACTCACGCCCGGCACATTTTGAAGTGGCGTCGACGCACACCGGGTCGTCTGTTGGCACGGATTTGCATTGTACGCCATGCCAACCTGAAACAAAAGAACATTGATGGTGATTAAACACTCAACCACCTCGGTGATCAATTCTTACATTGAGTAACGGAGAAAATATTCCATATCTGGCTATCAGCAGCTGTTCCGATACCCTTTTCAGTTCCTCCTGCTGATGGACAATCAGTTGCTGCAACTCCTCGTGTTTGCGTTGAAGTTCATCCTGAATTTGATTTTGTACCGGTGCCAGCACCAGCCCCTGCTGTTGAATCATCTGTTACCAAAATCATATTCACTGATTACTACTTTTCCACAGACCATGTTAATCCTAACACGTGGGTAAAACGTATCACAGTATACCCAAAGGACCCGAACGCCAACGGAGCACATGATAAAAGTATGATTATGGTTCAGTCGAGTGGATCATACCTCGTTTGTCTGAAGTGGTGAGATAATCGACGTGTCCGCAGGTCCCGCGTAAGCACCACCCACAGTCGTTTCCATTGGAGCAGCCTGGTACTGCGTGGATTCGAGAAAATTGGCGCAGTGCTGCTGTTGCTGCTCGACCTTCGTTTTTGCCGAAATCTGTTGCTGCTGAGGTTGTTGTTGCTGATAAGTCGGCTGCTGCAGTTGCTGGTTGACAATTGGCCTGTCGTCTCTGCGGGCCGTCGTCGTTTTCGATCTCGTCAAGCTGTTGGTCTTGGACCTCGTAGTCGAATTCGGCGCCGAGCGGATCGATCTCGTGTTGAGGGAGCAGGTCGACGACGACGTGTCGGACTCCTTGCCGTGGCGTAGACGCGGACGCATCGTCGCCGACCGCGTGGTTTCCAATGACTTTGACGACCACGACGGGGCACGAATGTGACTTGGTGTGCTCTGGAATGCGAATCGTTCATTGTGATCATTGTTTGTAATTGCAAGGTGGGAAAACGTGTCAAACAAGTGTATCTACGTTTACTCGTTTCGTCGTGGACGTGGTTTCGTTTTGTGCCTTGAAATTCAAAGATTTGTCCGAGTCTCGTCTCATCTGTTTGACAACGTCGACGTAGCTGACCACGTGATGCGTGCAGACAATGAACTCTGGCTTGGAGTTCCATTGATTGTACGTTATGTAAAATCGAGTTTGCAGCCATATCCATTGTTGGCCTTTTGTCAAGAACCTGTAGTGACAGGAGGTACCCTCGCCCTTCTTCATAACTGTTGAATAAATATTTCATTAAAAAACCAAGCGTCACCGATTATACGTACGTATATGTACATTATGCAAGATGTTTCGCCAACTTGCGTTGAACTTACGAGACTCGTGACACGTAACGACCTTGTCGAGATCGTCCGTGTGGTAATAATCGTATCCAGATGTTCCCAAGACTTCGAATGGTAAGTAGCCAATAATTGGTGGTGCTCTGTGGTCCAGAAACAAAAATTTCCATTCCAAACTGTGCCTGGACGTGAACTCGGTTTTTGTGATGTCGACCACGGACATCTCTCGTATGAGTTGGGGCACTTGTAGCCGACCAGTGCATACGAATACGATTCTACTGAAAATTAAAATACTCAGTTTTATAGCTCGTTTCAATTGTCTGATTCGTTCATTGTTATTTTTATAACACTTATTATTACTTTGATTCCCCCGTCGTGCTGTTGCCGAATTTATCACTCATGCTGTCGTAGTCCGTGTCACTGTCCATTCCTTAAAAAAAAAAAAAATTACATGTTTAAAAAATTCACTTGTATATTCACGATTTAATAGCATCTTTCTTTGTTTTTTCAATGGCAATTTTAGGCAGGACAACTCACGAAAGTATCCGACGAATTGAACTAGCTCGTAGATGGGCTCTTCTCTAAAATCCAGCCCTCCCCTCTTTATATGGCACGTGAACGATACGTTTTGCTGATCTGTAAATCAATCACGAATATTGTGAATCTCGCGTTAGTCAACGGATCGACTGGAAACTAATTGGTACACACGTGTATATAATTGTGTCGTATGGTTCGTACCTTTCTTAATACTATTTTGATCCCTGGCACTCGCTAAAATGTTGTACAAGTGCGACTGGTCGTCTTGAAAGGTTATTTCGTAAACCGTAGAGTTGACCACCTCACTGGGAAGGTAGCCCAGAAGGGAAGTTATGCTCTCGGAAGCGTAATAAATGCGCCCCGAGGATGAAAAAACCATGATGAAGCCGTCGAGCGCCTCCAGAGTTAAATGCGTAAATTCCTCGTTCGATAAAAAGGAAGGCTTCCAGTCTTCTTGTATCTCGTGAACCCTCGATTTTACCGCCAACTCTGAGTACGCATCCATCAATTTAATTAACACGATTTTTAACTTTCGGATCAAACTGATCGATACAGGCTTTACATTTGTGGCTCACCATTGTGATTTTTTAAAAACAGTATCGTTGATTTCAACACCGTCGATTTGTCCATTTTTCTGGTGTTGGTGCTCACCATGTTACCGAGCTCGTTAACCAGCATGTTGAATTGATCTCTTCGTTTCTTTTCGCTGAGATTCCGTGATTTCCTGTAAACGACACCCAAGTTGTATTTTTAAGCGTACAAACAATTCAAAAGCAACCTACGACTTTTCGGCACAAACCTCTTCGTGTCGTCTTTCTCGTCGTTCTCATCGTCCATGGTTTCGCTGAAATAACAAAAGCACGTAAGCATCAAGCAACACCCGCAATACCGAGCATGTCGTTTGACGAAGAATCCAAAGGTCAACTACAATCACGACTCTGCGTAAAAAGTCCAGGGTTGAAAAGTTTATAGCATAACAAACAACAATTCCAAGCCGGCACCCCGTGCTTCGGTACACGCATCGAGCACCGGGCCTCACGAGACCGGCCTTTGACTGATTGTTTTTTTCATGTTTACCCCCTCCATGTACTACTAATCCAAGGGTGCTTGGAAATTTTATGTGTACAGCTCGAGTCGTTAACCACGACACTTTTGCCAACGATGGGGAAATCGTGCAAACAAAGATTGAAGTAGTAACAGCCACTGGAGCACCAACGTGGAGCCCGACCACCTGTTCGAGGCACGGGGGTGAAAAAAAAAAAGAAACGCAGAGAAACGTACAAGTAACCGGAAGGTTATTCCGCTGAAACGACCGAGGGAGCAGCGATAGGAAGGCGCGCGCGTGACGTCGAAGTACAAAAGCGCGAACAGGCGAGAAAGAGAGAGAGAGAGCTCTTGGATCGATATGGCACCGCGACTTGTGCCATCGCCGATGATGCGTTCAAATAAGGCTACACGGGCTTGGGTGATAAATTAACCGAGAGAAGTACCGCTGGAGTCGGTAAAATCTCCCGGCCGATCGAGTTGCACAAACTTACTCGGACTGCCGAGTCGAGTCCCTGCTTCCAATGTAACTCGCCATTGCTGCTGGTCTTTCTCCGCTCGCGCGTGTAAACGCGCAAGCGAGACGGCTGCCGGGGATGCGGACCCGATAGAGACGGCGACTGTTATACCCACTGCACAGATGTGCGCGACGCAGCACCCGCTGGCCCCGTCTCGGTGCTGAGCACTGACGCGCCAGGTCGGCGCATACCGATTCCTCCCTCGTGCGTAACCGGTTTTTCGTTTGTTTTCTCCCTTTTGCCCAAAAAGCCACGCACGATCGGCTGCGAAAAGCTTCGCCGCACACTGACAACCCAACAGCGAGAGCGCGCGCACACCACACGCTCCGTGTGTCCACTGCTCGCCCCTCCGCCTCTTGCTTACCCGTCCCGCACTCTGGACCTGATGCGAATATGCGCAAGTCCGCGAGAAAGTCTGGGGACGAGAACCGCGAACTCTGCGAACGTGAATGTAACTAGCGGACAAGTGTATAGGTACTTTTCTTTCGCGAGGAATTTCAATGTAGAGACCAACTCGTTACGCGTGGATTTTTTTATTGTCACTTTGTTCACGTACAATCACGCACGTGTACGTGCATTATCTAGGTCTTTTTCAGCGTTTTGAGTCTGGTGGGGACGGCGCCGCGGCTCGTTGGAGTTACCGGTGCCGCGATCTTCCCAACCGGTTTCCGTCCCACCGAGCCGCTCTTCGCCAAGTCAACCTGGACCCCCGAGTCTCTGGTAGACCGGGCCATCCTGCCGCACGCGTCGAACTTGCGCCCGACCTCGTCGCTGGTCTGCAGGTAGCGCTTCATCAGGTACGACATGCCGCTGTCGTCCGAATCGTCGCTCGCGCGCCACTCCTTCACATCGGAGGCTGGCTTTTTGGCGCTTCCTTTGCCGGTCGCCCTGCCGATCGACTTGGACCTCGTCCCACCCGGTGCCCGCCTCTTGAATCTACTCCGTGGGCTCTTCGTCCCCGGCGTCCTCCGTTCGATCGCCTCCTTCGAGCCGCCACCGGTTTCCGACTCGAACATCAGGGACTTGAGGTACTTTTTCCGCTCCTCCTCCGCGACGCGGGTCTTGCCGATTTTTCCCGCCGCCCGTCCCTCGTTCACTATGACCGGGTGCAGCTCGTAGCTCTCCCCGGCACCGGCAAGGAGGGCCCGGGGCAGCTTGCTCTGCTTCCCCGGCAGCACTCTGTAGGTCGACTCGGCCAGACTGACGCTTGCCGATCGCGGGACGAGCGGCTCGGCTCGGCTGCTGCTGGCCGTCTGGCTCGAGCTTTTCTTCGCCGTGGCGCGCACGTGCTGGCTCCTCGCGAGTTTTTTGAAGCCCTGGCTCGACCCCAGCTCTCTCTCCATGGCCAGCAGCTTCGACGTACCTTTTAGCCTCTTGTACAGCACCTCCCAGATGGCATTTGACGCGAATATCTGGGCCAAGTATACACGAGCTGTACAGCGAGAGTGCGCGAGAGAGTCTGTTGGGGGGTATACCTCGTTGCTCTGGCGGGACACGCGGAGTAAGCTGGCGACGTCGTTCAGGCTCAGGTATCGGACGAGTCGTTCGATCACGCGGTTCGGCAGAGTCAGCAGCGCGGCGCTTCCTCGCGAGGTTAAATTCTCGATGTGGTTCAGCACTCGTGGTCCTGTACGCGCGGATAATCGTTTCGACGGTTAATCGATGGGCTCAAGTTTGGTGGGTCGAGTTGGTACTTTACCGAAAGCGAACGAGATCTCGTCCTTGAGCACCTTGTCCTCGGGGAAATCGGGTAAGCTAGTTGTTCTGGTGATCGGCGACAGATGAGGCCCGTGAGTAATTTTCCATATGTACAGAATGACCTATAGGGTACGGAGTTTTTGAGCTGCAATGAGGGGCTTAGCCATCGTGGTACTTTGGTTACTTCGTACTTGCTCGCCGAGGACTTTCAATCCATAGTAGTCTCGACTGGGGCTTGGGGCTACCGAATACTTTTCGAAACGTGGTAACTTTTTTGTCATGCTACGATGATGATTGGGGTTAGGAAAGAAAAAGAAAAAAAAAAAAAGTTGATATCACGTACGCATCGGTGTGAAGTGAGTTTGTTCATATACTTTTGTATATATGTATACATATACTTTTTTGGGATGATTCGGGAGGGAAGGGAAGGGTTGGTTTGAACAAAAAGTAAAATTTTTACGTGTATAGTCAGTCGATTTCACAATTTTTTATTATAATAGATTTGATATGAAGAAGTGAAGATATAAATACAGTTATGTTAGAAAGTAAAAATGGAAAAGTCGAATGTGGCATTCGTCGTTAGAACCGTAATCGTAACGATATTACAAGATAGGCTATACAGTAGTATCACAATGCATGATTTTCAAACTTTCTTACGAGTGTGTGTACACGAGAGATAAAATGTGATTGAAAATATAGTATTTGCCGTTGGCAAGCGTTTTTCGGAAGGAAAAACGAGTTTGAAAATAATTACGAATGAAATCAAACAATGCGAAACGCTTGCGTACTTTCGAACAAATTAAAAAATTCACACCTCGACAAAGGCTTTGTTTTCATAGTAAAAGAATATTCCTTCGTAACAGTACGTGATTGTTACGAATCACATTTCAGTATCTAGCTAATACAACGTTTCTCGTCTTTAAAAAATTATTAAAAAATTTTATCTTTTCAAGATTGAGTAGTACGACGCTTTTTTCCTCCACCCCATTAGCTTCCTCTACTTTGTAGATTGTTTCTTTTGCTTTCTTTTTTCGCAGTAACAAAATTTTTTTAATTCACACAATAAGAAAAAAAAAGTTTCTTGTTTTTTCTTTACTCATTTTTCGTAACATACAATTTTACACTAATCAGAAAACCACTACAGATCACAAGTACGAATACGAAAAAGTAAAGATGAAGGTATACATGGTACAAAGAGAAAAAAGTAATAGAAGAATGGAGAGAGTCTCAGAGGCTGAACATTAGATGAGAGTGTGGTCGATTTGTGAAAATAAATTACTAGGCGCTAGTGTATCTCAAAAAGTCTTACAGGCAACGGTAGAACGATAAGTAGGAGGATTTTTTTATTTTCTCCGTATACTTTTTTTCCATCTCCATCGTCCTCGTTGTGTCTTAGCAATTATTCTTATTACTTATTCGAAGAATATCAAAAATTGCAGGAGTTTCTGGCGATTGAGAAGTCATAAATATTTTTTTAAATTTCTCTTTCGTTATATTTCCTATACGCGTTTCACATTAGTGTATTAAATAGTTGATAAAAAAAGAGATTTGACGCAGAAAGAGGGCAAATTCGTAATATTTTTTTTTTTCAACAGTAAGAGTTTGCTCGCTCCCATCGCTTAAACGTCATTCGTTATGTAACAACGAGTATAGAAAAAGTCTAACATCTCACACGTTGCGTCGACTTTTTAGTCGCTTCAAAATAGTATCTGACTCGCAGAGTACAAAGCCACGTGGTGCAAGATCTCACTTTTTTCAACAGCAAGCGTCTTTGGGAGAAAAATTCGAGCGTAAGCGACAGCGACTCAATTTTTTTTTTTTTAATTTTCCACGCTTAAGAGCTTGATTTTTGTAAAATTCGATTAAAAATTGCGCAACTTGTCTCAACCTTGCTTATTGTAAATTGTCTTCGTTCCTCCTTCGGCCGCGAGAAATATCACCAAACACACATCGACGTTACACATTACGTATAAAGTTTCATGATTGTAGCTTCGTATAACATTTGTTTGACGTAACAGGAGAAATGGTGCGAGAGTAGTAAAAATATTTGTGGAATGCAAGAATGATTCGTTTGAAAATGTTTTCAAGTTAGGTAAAAATTACCCTATATGGCTCCGTTAAACGAGTTACAATCGATTTTGCTGACATCCATCAGTCCGTTTGCAAACTTTACTACCAATAGAAGACTTAAAAGAAAAAAAAAAAAAGGACAAATTAATCGAATGACAATGTCTGATGTATCTAGTCGCAGGAAAGTACACTGGGCAAAGGCATGCAGTCTTATCACGTTCGACGCTGGCCGAAAAGTTGGCGAGCGTCTCAAGATTATATTTGTAACAAATCTAATTACAACATTTGCGGCTTCATTCTCTCTCTCTCCACTTTGTTTTATCTTTCTACGGCTATTTTCCTCACGCTTTCCTGTTCCTTAATATAATAAATATATAAATATATAGAGACACATATATGTATTTACTTTGTCATTCTCTTTCGCTAAGGAAGAAGTTGAAACGCTCAAGTATATGTTACGTAGGTAAAGAATCATTGTGCCGATCAGCACGATTTTTCTCGAATACACGTAACGTCGAAAGAATTTCTTACACGTATGTATATAAGTGCATATGGAAAGCATCATGTATTACAGTGTGTTTAATCATAGTTATAGATACTGACAAAATATCACATTGTTGATCGGCACAAGTACTCCCTGTACACTTGCTATACGAAGAAATAAAGTTATATCAGTGTTCTGACTTTATGATACAATCGAATTCTGGAAGAACAGATTTGCACAAATATTGTATCGGTATATATGTATATGTACGTGTATTTACATAGTATGGGTAGTATAGTATAGCAGAGAACAGTACAAAGACGTCTTGCGTGCAGCGCGTCAGCTCAGACCTCGGATTATATTACGCGGATATGTCATCTTTATTTAAAAGTAGCACCATTTCGTTTGTTTGTCATAACTTCCGTATGACATTCTCGTCATCGTTTTCCGCGGAGTTGTCATACATACTACGTGAGACAAATGATAAAAAATTTTTTTCACCCTTGCATTGCTCTTTTCTTTCTATCTATTATTCCTCTAAGGTCCGACCTTGCACACCTTGACTAGACGTCCCTTCTCATTCGTTTTACATTTCAATGCAGTCAAGTATACTTTATGGAGCTCAATTGTATGTAGTAAAAAGATTATGGATTCCGATACTACAGAAAAATGCTCGAAAAACCACGACTTCACATCATCGACACACACGTGTCCAAGAATAGCGAACGATTTGTACAACATCCACAAAATCGAATTTTGGTCAATATATACATCGTAACAGCAACTCCGATTTTCCTTTACAGACATCAGATGCTTCTCATGTTCACTGAGCAATTTTACGAGCCATGGGAACCTTTGTAATGAGTATAAGCTTTGTAAGAAAGTATAAACCAATCGCAAGAGAAGGGCAGTCTCACTTCGAATTGGATCCCTTCTATAGCCCCAGCTCGTGTCAGACTTGAAGTTTCACAATAACTACATAATAACAATGTCCTCGCCACACACCAGTGTCCCCCGAAACACCTCGGAGCACGAAATTCCCGCAGCCTTGGCTCGGCCCTACGAGCGCTGAACCACCGAGTGCACAGCTACAGCGGGCCTCCCGATCGATCCAGACGCCACTGCCGCGCTATCCTCCTCGGGCTCCCGACCCGAGCTCTCCCTGCATATGCTGCTACTGCCACTCGTGGTTGTCGTGTCCTCCGTGGGCGCGAGGCTGCTGCTCATCAGTTGGCGCTGCTCCATGTGGTCGAGGGTTTTCTCGATGGCCCGCAGCCGCTTCTCCAGGCTCGCGGTGCCCAGTATGCCGACCTGCAGCTGCGGACTGAGCGGGAGAATGGCCAGGAGCCACCAGGCCCAGGCGGGCCCGTCGGCCAGCCGCTGCCAGTCGTCCTCCGCCTCGGGCATCTCTCCAAACACCCGCCTAATCTCCGAGCGCTGGGACTGCGGCACCGTCACCCACCACCTCCGGCTCTTGGCTCGAACCTGCGACAAACAAATTCCCACGTTTTTTCTCCTTTCCTTTTTTTTTATTTTATTTTTTTTATTTTTTTCCCTTCACTCACCTTGTTGTGCAACTCGGCGACGCTCAGCAGCTGATCTGCCGGAATGGGCGTGTCGCGCAGGTACTCGACCTGGGCCGTGTCGTAGCCGTCCCGCTCGCCGCCCGCCAACACTCGAAACCTCCGCGCTCCCAGGGTACTCAGTATACTGCAGCCGTCCTTCAGCAGGACTCGATCCCTTATCTCCAGCACCGTGCCGTACTCCGCGTACCTGTCACCAATAACGATCGTCACCACCACCATTGTTTAACACCAAGGGCCACTCTATCGTGACGACGGGGGAAATTGTAATTGACGAGTACTCATTGTCATGGAGTCGATGAGGCACTCGTAGAAATATCGATGACAATTTTCCTCGTCAAAGTGTACGTATATGGGTGTAACTCGAGCGAAAGGACTCACCTCTTGGTCCCCGTGGCCTCTCGGTTCAAACAAGCCGCGATGCCGAATTGCTTGACCCCGGTGTCGAGGCACCTGCGCACCATCAGCCTGTACCTGGGCTCGTAGACAAAGAGGGGACACGCGACGCAGGGAAAAGCGGTAGTGCAGACAAACACGGCGATACGCTCACTGGTGGTCGTCGTTTCCCCACCGATCACCTCGTGCTGGACGAGCTCGTGCCGGTAGCCCAAGGCCCGGGCCGCGTACTCCTTGGGCGCGGCGAACTTGAGCGCCCGCTCGACGAACTCCGTGACGGTCTTCTGGCTGCTCGCGAGATACTGAAAGGATGAAAAGGGCCATGAGATTACGGCACCTGGGCCCCACCAATGTCAACGCCGCGAGATCGATCGATCGGTAAATTTGCTCGCACGCGCGGTGGTCACTCGATTTATGATAGGCCTATACGCGCGCACGACTATACCGAGGTAGTTGGCCCTCTCCCTTCCTCCCCAAAGTCTCAAACTGCATAATAAATAGTCGTATAATGGCTGTACATTGGCTCGCGGCCAGCTCCCCCTTCTCGCCTCTGGCTGTGGGTACACATGCAGAGCCAGCCGACTTTGGGCTAATTGGATACGAAATTAATAATTCCTGCTGATGAATTTTAAATGGAAGCCTGCACATTGGCTCCGAGGGCCTATCTTCGATTTTTTTTTTGGAAAAATGGGTACACCACAATTGAGGGATAATGGACCCACACTGGTGGATATAGTGTACATGCGCACCACTGCACGTGGAAGCTCAACCGGAGAGCCGTATAGACCGCAGGCAATCATTTCGATCGGGTGCATCGTTAACCGCGTCGCTGCCGCTACTGTCGTCGCTTGCAAACAGGTGTGTCCCTCCTCCCCCCTGTTTGATCTATAGTCAGGCGCGATATAGCTCGATCGTTTATCGGTGACGAGCGACTGCCTCAGAAAAAGATGAGTCTTGGGTTATAGTAAAGTAGATTTTCGAAGGAGTGGGTACCGATTCGTGGTTACGTGATACCGGTTATGTATTCAAAGGTTTTTCTCCGATCGATCGACCACTTGTAGGGTACATCCACGTTTGTGTGATCGATACGAGTGGGCGTCAAAAATTTATACCGATCCCGAAAATCGGTTGCGCGATATCGCGCAAAAACTGTACTTTGGGTATATTTTTTGTGTATAAAGAGTTAAAAAACACACTCACGTCGGCGAGGGAGGTGACGCAGAGCGGACAGGCCGATGAGTAATCGAGGCACCTGTCCAGGCACATCCAGCAGTAAGTGTGCCCGCACGGCGTAGTTACCGGCTTCCAGAGCAACCGGCAGCACAGTATGCAGTCCAGGTCGCCACCCGCTACTCCGCCGTTCGGTGGTGGCAGGAGGATCTCTGCTGGCTTTGGCTCTACTCCTACGTGCAAGCGTCAACAATTAAAATACATTCACGTGCATTTTTCTGGTTTTTTTTTTTTTTTTCTTTTCTTTTTGCTCGACTCTCACTTACTTTTCAACTTGTCAACCTCCTGGTAGAGCCGTTCGAGCGTGGCGTACAGTTTCGAGTTATCCTGCGGCATCGTACTCGAGAGCAGCCTCCGGCAAATCGACTGAAACAAAGACATACGTATATAAAATACAAGTTGGATCTCTTTGAAACAAAAAGTTATATGTATTTGTCCCATCGATTATTAGAGCGTGGTCCGCAAAATAATAACAATAGCCGAGGGTTGCGCAATTTCACGTGGTCTCGCGAAAAATAGTCGCGTTAAAAAAAGAGTAGGTGTACAAACGATAGAATAATATTATGACATTACCGTGGCGACGTTTATGTAAAACCGAGTCGGGAAAAACTAACTTTAATTAGCCAGCGATAATTCAATCGCCGAGTTAAATAAGAAATGTGAGAGTAGGGGGTGCAACAAGAGGGTCCAGAAATAGAGCGTGGGCAGGCCTTAACAATTCAATTATGTAAGAAGCTCTCTCTCTCCCTCTCTCTTTTTGAGGGGCGGGGCAAAAATCGCGTGTACTATAAATTATTTCTCCTTCGTCGTCCCTACGCTGTTTCTCAGCTCCCGTACAATGTATATTTAATTGGCCGCGACAGTGTGGACGAGTATTTACGAGCGTTTTCTATTTCAGTGGCGGCTGGTTTTATTTTTAACGAAACCACGTGGACTCTGTATTGGCGAGGAAAAAAACAACTTTCGCATCGAAATTCCCTGCCAAATCCATGAGGGAAAGTAGGGAAAAATGCATACCTGTGAGAACTCCTCCTCGCCTCCGCTGCTGTTGTCCTCGCAGTCCGAGGTATTGGGCGCGTTGGCGCGCCTGTGATGGTTGTGGTGGTGTTGGCGATGCCGCCGATAGTGCTTCGAGTTCATGAGCGGCAGCAGCAGGTTGTGCCTGTTTCGCCTCATGCGCACCTCGACGAGGTCGTAGGGCGTGCGGAAACCGACTCCTCCCTGGCGGCGTACGTTTGACGCTAGCAAGCGGTGCAGCACCTGCGAGTATAATTACAATATTTGGTCAGTGCAATCATTCGACCGATGCTTTTGGTAACCGGTTTCTGGGATATATATATTTTTACCGATTAACTGTAGAGATCGTGCTCATGTAGCAGGGGGGTTTGAAAAAAAAAACAAAAAAAAAAAAAAAACAAAA